GTGAATGTAGCATTCTTTATTGACATTTTCCAGGAGGGTGGGATGAGTCTAATGGGAGTAACTCCTGTTCGCAGCCACTGCCATACGCAGCTGCTGCCTTAGCGGATCCGCATTTTTTTAGGATTATTGTAAAAGTTATAGTAAGGCTGGGGGTGCCTTTATGGGGTACCGGGGTATGGCAATAAGGCCCATGGCAGAGAAACTGAGTGCAGGCCAGTACAGTAACACAATGGAAGTGAGGTCCAGAACTCATAAAACTGTTGACCTTGCAAACAGTTCTCCTCAGCTGAGTCCTTGCTCTAGGTCTGAGGGGCAGTTCTTTCATACTCAGCTTGTGTTAACTGCATGGTCCCAGCAGGAAATCGAGAATCATTCCTCGCCCAGGGGGGATGGCTATGCTGCAGTCCTTTCTTCTCCATTCTCCTCCGGGGGATTTTGGGCACCTATGGGTCTGGGATTCAAACCGCAGTTGACCATGTGAGAGCCTAGCACCTTAACCACCATTCCACCTGCTGGCCCAATAGGAAGGATTTCTTTACTGTTTTTCAGGTAACTTGAACTTTTTGTCAGCTTGTAGCAGAGTTTAATGTTTTGCTGTGTCACAAAGGCTGTTTTTAAGTCCAGAAACATTTTTGTATAAATAATAGACACTTGTCATGTGGTAGAGATTTAATCATTTTATATTGTGATCATTTGAGAATTTGATGAAAGCTATTGGGTTCTCAGAAAAATCATGATAAGGGACCAGCAGGTGGTGTGGTGGTTAAGACGCTGGACACTCCCATATGACTGACCAGGGTTCAAGTCCCAGATCTGGTGGCTTGATTTCTTACTCTCTACGCCTCTCTTTCTCTCTCTCTGGTCAAATAAAAATAAATAAATGAATGAATGAATAAAATAAACAAAATAATTCTTTTTTATTTTTATTTTATTTTGAGAGGTTTTCACTACAGGGTACGTGCGCTCGCCAGACAGACAGAGAGAGACATAAAGACAGAAAGCGAGAAATCCCCCCCCAGGGGGGATAGTCACGCCACAATCCCTTCTCCTCCATACTCCTCTCGGGATCTTGGGCACGCATGCACAGGCGCCTGGCGTGAGTTTTAAGCCACTGGGTCCGGGACTTGAACCGCAGTCGACTACATGGGAGTCCAGTGACATAGCCATTACACTAACTGCTGGTTCCCAACAAAATAATTCTTAAAAAAAAGTCATAATGTATTTTTTTCTATGGTTTTCTGTTCAAAACTGCATCATGACTTTTCTGGCAACCCAATATATAGCATTTCTTCAAAAGCACTCTGCAGGGACCAGCAGTTAGTGTAATGGCTATGTCACTGGACTCCCATGTAGTCGACTGCGGTTCAAGTCCCGGACCCAGTGGTTTAAACTCA